CACTTGCTGGTCTTTTTGAAAGAATAAGTGATGGGATGTCCTCTTTTAAACATCAAGTGTGGTGTCATTTTTAATTGCATTAAATGCAAAACGCACACTTACCTTAATTTTGCGAAGTGCAAACTTGCTGTAATTCAGTTACCTGCCCACGAAACTGCAACTCGGCATAAAGTTGGACTTTATACTATGTCAATAATAATATTGGTTTCTTGTTGCACTTCATACTTCTACGTATGCAAAAAGGTATTGAATTCTACGTTGTCTTGTATAGAGGTGTCCAGGAATTTATTGTTAATAGGACATGTATTTATGTAGGGTATATTTTAAATATCTATCGATCTATTTAATTCTAGCTCCACTAAAAGATCTTTTTCATTATTGTCCTTTGAAATAAACATTGGATATCTTATTTCTAAGGATGATTATAATTATTATTTGAACGATAGGACAAGTACAGAAATCCAGTCCATTGCTTTTATGAAAATTACAGCTTTAGCTTTGTTCGTGAACATGCTTAGAATCAATGGAGTCCTCAAGACTGCGGGTATTGAAGATAATTATATTTATATAAAAATTTTGAATGTCTTAGTTTTTATTTATCCGCGGAAAAGGTATGTAAAATGTGGTCACCTAGCGATGTGGCGCGACACATCCGCCCTAGAAAAGCAACGAAGCGACCTTTGAACGGATTGCTGGCGTCATAGAAGAAACGGAATGTAGATTAAGCGTTTGTTATATGTATATATGAATTTGCTGACATATTCATTCGTTGTACCGTCGCGGGAAAATCCCAAAATTATCATTTAAATTCGTTATTTATATTCATACCAACTATTAAAATGTGTCGTTTATAAATGCGACATACTACTACTACAGTGATTTTTAGGTATAATATGCAGAGATTTAGAATAATAGAAACTTATAAAGTTCTAGAAATTAACAGTAGCCATAAACTAGACAACTTTCATTTACAATATCGCACAATTTCCACCAGCAAAACTTTTCAGCAGTTATAATGTTTTCTCTGCCATTGTTTCAAGAAAAAAAAATTGACTATGTTTTCGTGCAAGTATTTCCGCATAGGAAATCCACGGTTAAAGTGACAATGATAAAAAGTTTAACACATTGTAACGTGATGTCATCAACTTTCATCATACCTATTTATCGTGTGCGTGTTGTAAATGTGAATTGTGCAAAATATTGTGTTAAAGTATTAAAACACACGTAGAATTACCACAATCTTTAAAAATGTAGCAATATTGTCACGAAGTAATGTTAAAAATAATAGGTACAAAATGAAAATATAACATTAACATTCCATGAAATGCTAATAATAAATTTTCTTTTTTATTAATATAAAATTCCGCAAATTAAAAATGTTTGTATCGATGGTAAATGGGAAACCAATAAGTTGTATGAATTTTGCAGCGCATGCACTTATAGGCTGTCATCAGGGGGCGAATGCAATGTTGCGCGGGCGCAACTCATGCGCCGGCTCGCTTCACTCGTTCGTAGACCGTCTTGGGTGGCGCGCGTGTTTCCTTCTGCCGGACGCCTCTCGCCACGTGCCCGCTATCTGTCTGTACAAGCCCCTGCGACCCGACCTTCCGCGAATCCGATAATGGGGCGATAAGCTATTATTTAGTCGTAGATCCACATCTTAAAAATTCGCGAGTGCAGTGTCTGGATTGTTATGGAAAATAGCGCATTGATACCAGATACGATGTACACGAAATCTGACGCGTTGAAAGACGCCAGGGACCTGACCAAAAATTTGGTGGGTGGTGATTACGAGCGACAGTATAAAGAAGAGAAGAACGGCAAGGGTCGGAGGAGATGCGTTCTGTTCGGAGTGTCTATTGGAGTGTTGGCAGTATGGCTGGTCGCGCTGACACTGGTCCGCGAGATTCAGGTGCGGCGGTTGCGCGACGACGTGGACCAGCTCACCGCCAATGTGATCGCGCTCTCCGCTAACGTGATGTCCCTCAATCAGAAGCTCTCGAATAATCGACTCTTCAATGAATTCAAAAATCTCGAGGATACGGTGAGTCTATCTACTTGTTTACTTTTGACCTGACGTCACCTAGCATTTGAAATAGAACGAAATGACAAGTGTCGTATCTTAATTGATATACAGTTGTTTACAACATCACTGATTATTGGCATTTTTATTGCCTAATATATTTAACTTCAAGCGCAGTGGAAAACGTTAGAAAAAATGCCAAGTACTTATAATCTAGACAGCTTGTTACGAGCATTATTCCAGTTTAGAAGAATGTGGCGTTTAATTTAAAGGTAAACAAAGATAATGTACGTAGTAGGTGTTTTAATGTCAGTAGATTAGGTGCAGCATTGGCGCCGGTCCGCCGGTGTAACAAGCAAACCGGCAGACGTGTTCTGCTGTACGGCCGCAATTTACGTAACAGTCTAAGTATTTATTGTTAGATAACGCACTTGTCTCGGCCAAGGTTCTATCATCAGGCATAGTAATTACATTCAATTGACTCCGCATGGCGGCTTCTCGTTTAACAACTACAATGTGTTGTAAACATTATGGTTGTTAAATTAATAATAGTTTTAATTCTTGAGTAATAATAGTCATGACAGCCGTGTCGCCTAGTAGACCAGTCTGTTTTCCGTGTACCGAAACTAGAATTTGAATGGAAAATTACATTCGAATTTTTTTCTTTTTTATTCACATTCGCAACCTATTTTTGTGCCCTAGGTTACCGAATAAAATTGCAAGAACGATTTATATTTTTAACTCATTAGTAGTCTCATTAGACTTTTTTTATATTTTACTTAATTAGAAATAAATTTCGCTCCAACACAAGCGTATTTTATTTCTTTCAACGTAACGGCTTTACTTCGTTCTTTTGCTCTAATGAAAAGGGACAGCCACAAGCCTTATAGACACGTCCGTCAGTTACTTTGAACTTCTAATCGGGTAAATCTATTAATGTCGAGTCCGTTTAGTTAAATAATAAGCGATCGGACGTATTGATAAGGTATAAAGCGTGGGGTCGTAAGGCCGAGCTTAGAACAGGTTTGGTTCGCGGTGGAAACCTGTTACAAATGTAAACAAAAACGAATCTCCTCATCCGTCCGCGGTCCGCCCGTCGGTCGCCATAAGACCAGACATTACGTAATCACTATACATAGCCTTCGTATTGTTATTATAGCATAATTCTGCAAAACTTTCTTTATATATGTTTCTTTTCTCTACCAATACATTGGCGTACAATTTTATCTAATAAGTGTTAAGCATTTAAAAGCGACATCGTTCCTTTTGGTGCCTTTGCTACTCCTATTACATCATCTACTAACTCAGTAAGATCTTTTCCTAACACGATTTTAGACATTTCAGTAAAAAGTTTCTAGTCTCATTCAGATTTTATGCTAGAAATAGAAATGTCATTTAGGCTTACTTATATTTAGCAAAGTTTTCCAACCTTCAATAGAACTATAACCACATTCAGGTACAAAAAGTAGGTCAGAAAATTACTGCTTACGAATAACACATAACATTTGATTTGGTGGTTCAATTGTTAAGGCGTACCTTGTGCAAACAATGGCCTAGAAGGTAGATATGGAAAAAAACTCAGGTAAACACTACACCTTGTGCCTACTACATTATGATTTTACCTTTTGAAATTTGAACGATATAATATATAGTTGTTTTATATAAGTAAATTCCAGCTGCTAGAACTTTTGCTGTAAATATTTAATCTCTTTAGCTAGGTCGTCTAAATAACGAGAGTTAAATACCTATTGTATACTGATAACCTAACCGTGTCTTATCGCCTAAACAAAAAACATATTGTTTTCTCTCTTTTTTCAAATACAATGAGAGGGATGTCAATATGTATTTGTACAAGTTTACTACGAGATGCTAATTTTGCTTTGATTTTTTTGTACGATAATCCGAGAAACGAATTTCAACTGTTTTAATCTGACTGGGATCAGATCGAAAGTAACTAAACCATTCCGCTGTCATCGCGTCATTCTTTCTTTTGTTATCTTATAATGTTCAATATGTGTTCAGTTTCGATTTAAACTGGTTCCCAGCCATCGATTTTATGTTATACTCCGATGGTTGAATTGACGGGACATTGCAGATGCGGGTCGTTCATATATTGATTTCATTCATCGAATGATTAAATGGATAACAATACAAGTTTAAAAGATACCATCTTGATAATAAATTACAACAATATACTTTTTAAATATGCTTTTATTAACTTGACAAGGCATAGACGATACAAGATAGCATAAACAATCTATAACCAATGGTGTTTTTATAACAGAGAAGTAAAAATACCAGGTTCCTCTGGTATTGCTGATGTCCATGGGCGTCGTTGAACATCTCGGTATTCGTTTGCCCTCTACTGTTATAAAAAAAAAACAGTTTTTTCTTAACCTAGACATATTAAGTTACTTAACTTATTAAATTACATAACTTTCGTCACTATCAATAATTTTATGATGTTTCATTCGCTTATATACCCTATCTACTACCTTTTTGGATGACTGGCGCGTTGTTACTGAGGTTTTGTTATAAATGTTGACCTATTTTGTACCACAAAAGTAAACCGCAAACTCACAAGCACATAAGAGATGAAAGATAAAAGATATACGATACGGCTATTATGTTATTGTACGTCTAATTTTACCCTTAAGCAAGCCATTGTTTGTCGCCTTTGAAAGAATACACGGAACGTAGGATGTTAAGCTGTTATACAAAGTTTCAAGTTATAGCCTGGCTTTACGAACGGAGTAAATAGTACACTGTAAATAGCAAAATTAACACCGTTTTTTATTTAGTAAACCTAATTAAATATACTTCTGTTATAAGATTCTGAGACCAAATTCTCCTTTTAAAACATACGAGTATTTTCATCTTTGTAAAAGATTAAAGAAAGGAATGACATTATATAATGATTTTGACGTCAGAAACCCACGGTTAGTCTGTTATTATATATTTTAAAGACCACTGGTCTTACAATTCATTATTAGGCTCCGCGAGAAACAACTACACTCATAGACATTTGATAGTTATTTAAATTCCTTAGTGTAGATATCTCTCAGTAAATCTCTACTAAGCGAGTCATAAGTGAGTAATTAATGAATCTTTCTGTGTGTTAAATGAATACCCAATCATGACCCAAGGTTGAAACAATAAAAAAAATGTTACAATATTTAATTTATGACATATTTACATTGTTGTAATTGATAACATGACATAATATGTACTTTACAATATGGGCCAATGTAATGATCAATTGAGAACGTTTATCCTACTAACGCAAATGTAATAGAAATTAACATTTTATATTATAATAGCTTATCACTACGAATCCGAACGCGCGGCATTAAAAAAAAACTTAATAAGTAGAATATGTTTTCTTCGAGACTATGTTTAACATGTATGTCAAATTTCAGTGAGATCTATGCAGTCGTTCTGGAGATACCTTCAATCAAACATCCATCCATCTAAACATTCGCATTTATAATGTTAGTAAGATATGTAGATATCTATAAAATATGTCATCATCTCTCTCGTTCTGTTTCAAAAAGACAGAAAAAACAATATGTTTTAGAAAAGGAGTTCGGTAGTGAAACATTACGGCAATATAGACAAACATATGGTGGAGTTACGTTGTTTTCAGTTATTTTCGTTTGCCTACATATTATAAATGCATACCAGTTTGTCATCGTGTCATGATATATGCATTTATGTATTTTTGATTATAGTATTATTTGTTAATTTTCCATTGTTTGATTTAAATACGTTTATTTGTTACTAATGTTTATCATTCAATGTTAATTTCATGTTGTTTCAAAGCGGCCGACATGATTTCTTTGCAAATAATTTGATGCGAATACATGTCATATTGGACGTATAACTGGCAACCCCAGAGTGATTTAAAGGTAACAACTGATATAGAGCTAATTGGAAATCAAACAATAAGAATGGTAATATTTGTGTCCCGTTAATATTGAGTTTTTAGACAGCAAAATGTATGTTTAATTCTCCTCACTAATCAATCTGACACTTGACTTGGTAACGAAAGTGCGCCATTCGCGCCAAAAGATTCTAACTAAAAATTGTCTAAAATTAATAATCCTTTGGTAACTCTTCTCTGCCGATTCCTAGTAACTCTTTGACTTCTAATTTAACGAGTGTTTTATAACTAATTATATCGTAAGCTTTCACGACAAGAAATAACAATGGAGTCGTGAAATGAATTCACAGAGAAATTGGCCGTGGTCCAGCCACGTTTGTACTGTTTAGTGCGAGTCTATATTCGTTCCATGAGACTTTATTGTTGACCACCTAACACCTACTAGTGTTGTTATTACATAACTTAAACAGCGCCCAAACGGAATGTCTGTAAATATCATTAAAAATATTTACTTTCTTTTATAGCTCCCAGTTACGAAAAATGACGAATTCCAAATTTAAAATATAAATAGCTTATAAATTAATTGTTTGGTATAATTAACCGATTAGTTCTGTAATCTAGATACTAACGACTTCAAAACCGCTGTTCTAAGACTTAATAAACAATCTGTAATTAATATAAAGAAATGATTAGGTATAAAAAACAGCAACATTAAATATGCTCAGAGAGATTTTAAATTAACGTAATTAAATTATAAATGTTAAATAAATTTGCTAATTATAATAACACATTAAGCTGTATTCGTAAAGATAAATATGAAAACATAAATATGATATTTGTTTACATGATTGGCCGAAAACACGGATAACCATATGCTTGTCAGTTTTAAGGATGATTAAAAATATACAAGGGTAAGTATGTAAACCTCTTTCGTGGCGTAACGATGTTTTTAACATGGTACCGAGTGGTTGGCTATGGGCTATTAAAAATTAATGATACTCGGCTGCGTATCCGTTTCACAGGATGTTTAACATCTCACGATCTGATGAAAGCTTTATTGTAAAAAGCAAATTGCTCGATTATTAATTCTCGTTCATTTGAATGAATATCTCGTTTCATCTTTATAATTAACAAAACA